TCTGAGTTTGATAGGAATCAGGTACTTGGTGTTTTTACTTTTTATAGCAAATTTAAGTTCCAAAACCCTAACCCTACCAGGTGTCAATAAACTAACCATGGTTTACTAATATTGTACTTGTATGAGATGGTAACAAGATTTTACCATTGTGATTAAAACATTTTCACCCTTTTAAGTGACAAATTTATGGATTTTTTAACGTAAAAGACCCTATATATTATATTTTTTATAATTGAATTTAATATATGTGTTTTTCAAGATGAGAATTGGAATATAATAATTGATTTTATTTACGAATTTGATTCATATTATTATGTTGAAGATTTTATTTAATAAAAAGAAACGTTTTAGAATTAATTATAGGTAACCCAACATGACGTGTTTTGGGCTTCAAACCCAAAAATAATATCATGAAGCCTTGTAATGCTAAAACAAATAATATCATATTGATTCATTTACAACACATTCAACACTAAGGAGACGTATTGTAAAGTTCCGCATCACCCCGTGCGAGAGGGGGTGCCCATATATATTGGCTATTGACCTTAACCTAACATGACGAATTTTAGGCCTAAAGTCTAGAAACAAAACCCTGACACCCTGTAATGCCAAAGCTTACAATGTCATGTTAGGTCATTTATAACAAATATGTGATTATTACAATGGATTTGGTGAACAATTCAGAAAATAGTCACATTTAAAGAGATTGTAAATGCATATTCTACCAGTCTAAAAGGAATATGTCCCGAAATCACTGTAAATTAAAAGATAGGTTACCAAGGAAAAACAGATTGACAATTTCAGTAATCCTTGTGGAATTATTGATGATTTGGCAAAACAAATTTACACATTGAATTGATCAATCACTGCCTTCCTCACAAACATAAGTTAAACAACCAATCACAATTTGAATTTTCATGTATAAATGAAACAATCAGCACAGCAGATAATCACCAACCAAAACTTCCCTAAGAATTTCAAATTTCACAACCCAACACAATACAGGATACTCTTACTTTAAACATATATCATAACAATAATCATCATAATATCATCCATGTTATAAGGTTCACAAAAAAGTAAATGTTCAACAGATACTTCCGCCATAACCAAAAATAACAAAACCAAATGAGAGTATGTCAAAGACATAGCATTTTATTACAAACCATCCATAGCTTGCATACCGATGATATATATATTATATATTATATATCTGAAAGGGGTCTTTGTCCCAACAATAACCAAGCGAGCAACCACACATGGCCCTTCCTCCTAAGCAGTAGCCCTTCTGACCTTTCGTTTTCATGATTTCTTTCCGTTCGATCATACCGAGCGATGCTCCATTACAAAGTCCATGTGGCATAATGGTATTAAGCTTGCTTTGCAGAGACATCATGCATTGCCCCTGATACAAAAAATATAAGATGATATACAGAAAAAGGAAAACTACTAGAAATGAACTCCAATTATAGACAAACATTGTGTAAGCCCAACCATCAAGATAAGGCTAATACACAAACAAACAATTGTAAGATTAAGAGGAGTGCAGAATTTAAACCTCAATAGAACTTTGAAGAACTTTTGGAACACAAACTGGGAAGCAGCGCGACTTGTCGCGCACTGGTACGGGTTTTCACCCCACTCTCCTGCACCACGTGGAGTATGTTTTGATTGATTGCTATTCAGAATCACCGTAAACTTCTCCATCATCAGAAAACTCAATGTCCTCATATCAGCTGGTACGGAGGATTCCCCCAATCCCCCCAAGCCTCTGCAGAACTGGGATCCCTCTTGCGACTTGTTGGTAACAACTCAGTGTGCAGCCAAATCGCCTGTATCATTAGCAAACCTTCGAGAAGTGGCATCTTTTTCCGAACCTCCAATTCAGCATTCGTGCCAGAGTCACGAAGCTGCTCTGGTTTGTTTCTTGCTCCTTGTTCAAGTGTTTTATTATAACTTCGTTGTTGGTGGTGTTTTTTCAAAGTGTACCATTCATATCCAATTTCCAAACAAAAGTGTCTCAACAGCACCCATTTCCAAAGCTTTCAGGTGTCATCAACACCGAAAACATACTTTCCATGTCTGACTTATTTTTCTTCGAAATATTTCCTATCAGGGCGCTTCCTTGTATAACTTCACATTTGAAAGGATTTCAGCAGACAACTCATTGCCTGATTAAACCCATCTCCCTCCATAAGAACCATCCACAACATTCAGGTTTTCGCCTGAAGCGGGATCAAACTATCAGACTGACTAGCTCCGTTTTAAGCAGCTGAACAGCAAGTATCATCCTGAAACATTGGGCTGGCTAGTGGAAGGATTGAGAAAACTGTGTAGCAGTTCCGGTCTTCCTTACATAGTTTTGGCGCTTTTTCCATACGAGCCGGCAAACCGAGTGCTGACTGACCTCCTCTTCCAGCTTCTTAGGAAGTCAACAGAAACACTTGAAGGACCTCACGTTGTGTTCCACTTAGTTACCAAAAAGAGTCCCGTTACCATCCATGACAATAAAACCAAACTTGTCATCAGATTCCAGAAAGTTATTCGAGCTTCAGTATGAAACTTGTTATCACAAAGTAAGAGATGCATTAATAGGCCTGAAAGGCTCAAAGTCATAGTGACCTCTTTTCCTTGCCATCATCAGTGACAATTGTTCCCCGTGACAGCACAAGCCCATTCGGAGACCTTGTTGTAAAGCTTCAACCTTTGCTAGGCAGACGTAATGGCCCCCAAAACAGATTGACGATTAACCCTACTTTTGATGTTCGAGCAGTTCCAAATTCATCACCACATCTTAGTGACACGCGCAACTGATCACGCGCGAGGCATAATAAGAGAATCATGCTTGTCCATTGCTCTCTTCTGCCTCAAGTGCTTTGATTGCTTCTTAATCTTCCATATCTCAATGTTTTTATCAGTCTCGTGACCGTCTGCCATCGAAAAAAATGCAATAACTCCCCCCCCCCCCCCCCCCCCCCCCCCAAAAAAAAAAAAAAAAAAAAAAAGAGCAAGTAAATAAACAATAAACAACAAACAAAACCATAATACTGAGATTTATATATTAAACAACAGCAACTTGCAGAAAGATGCGCATCACTAACTAAATAAAAAATTAATAAAAAGACACATCAACACTCAAAATATATAATATTAAAAAAAAAAAAAAAAAAAAAAAAAAAGAGAGAGATATCCAAAACACATCTCAACTCGTAAAAAGAAACACATTCACATGTACGCAATCATATTAGATTATATTATTTCCAAGAAAAATAATAAATGCCTTTTTCAAGCCAAACATCCAAATATTCTTTTTATCTCTAATAATAAGAAAATATCGGCTTATTGTCAGAATTAAAACGATCGAATTCAAAGCTATCACTTTAAAATTATCTAATTAAATAACAATAATAATAATAATAATAATCATGTTACGGACATAATACACATTCAGATATCAATCAAATTTCAGAGTTTTCAAATCTCAGTAAATCGATATACAAATCAGCAAAAATTAAAAAAAAAAAACAATCAGAGAAATTGAAAAGGCTTTCAGATGAATTGATGAATCTACAAAAATCGAGTAAAAAGATAGACATGTATGCGGATGAAGAGAAAGAGAGACACCTGAGAATTGCAGATCGAATTTGCTGAGAGAAGGAAGAAGAAAAGTTGTAATTGGCTTAAATTCTATGAGGAGGAGGATAACAAGAGACGCTAAATACAAACGAAAATAATAAAAGGTATTTATAGTGTCACTAATAACCAGGTATCCCACCCTAACCAGATAATTTAACCATGGTTAGGTTTTGCTTTATTTGAGTTTAGTAAACCGACTTAACTTGAGCGTTTGAGATAAAAATTTGTTCCACCTATGATTGTCTGTATAAACCCTTATTTTTTTAGAAACTACCGAAGACACCCAACATGTTGTTAATAGAATTGGTTAACGGAGACATCGTCTTTTATATTAAGACTTAAATACCTTATAATCTCCCCCCACAAAAGAAAAAAAAAAAAAAATCAAACAATTTAACAACATCAGAGAAGAAAGGAAACATTCCATCATTACTTACTTAAGAAACACTCAATTTTCCGCCACTTTTTGGACAAAAAACGGGGAAGGAATTTTCATTCCCCAAAAAAAGGGTATCCGATTCTAAAAGAATTTGAAGGAATAGGGTATTCCGAAGTGGAAAAGGGTACAAAGTTCCTTCTCTACCCTCTTTCTATTTTCATCTTTAAAAAATTTATTTAGATTTTAATTATTCTATTAATTTAATTAATATCAATAATCATCATACTTTAAGAAAATAAATATTGTTCTATCCCCACCATTTATATCCATCATCAGTGACAGGTCTATGCCATTACCTTGTAATCAGTTGATCAATGTCATTGATCTAGACTATCACCATGACCGACAAGTCAATTCCACCACCACTGTAGCCAGTCGGTCATCATCGTCAAAATGGGAATCAAGTGTCACCTACAACGCATTAGATATTGGCTAACAATTTGTCTATCTAGGCAAGTTCCGAGCAACCTATTATATGATGGAGATTACATCACGCACAGTGATCATACTACTACATGACATTATCTTCAACATAATCGACAACCTAAACTTGCCCAAATCAATAGATCGTCGCCCACCAATATCCTACACACCAGGTGACTGCATGGTTCCCACCTCCAGTGGTGTTGACCAATGGTAGGTCAAATTTGAAAATTTATTTTTATTTCATTAAAGAGAAAACATTCATTTTAATTGTTAAATAAAATAATATTATATTGATTTCTATTTATAATAGTTTATTGTTATTTAAATATTTTTTATAAAGTTATTTTTATCTGATTAAATATTAATGATTAAATTGTGTGATAATATAATAATTTAAATTTAGAGGGTAATTTTGCAAATTTAATTCCTCCAAAAAGCGAAAAAAATAGTGAAATACTTGTGTTTTGATGTTAACTAGAAAAGAAGAAACTAATAAAATAAAAAAAAGAGCAATGTTAGTTTTACAAAGACAATCTCCACCCTTGATTTTCATGATTTCTCTCTCTCTCTTCTCTTTTTCCATTTTTTCTTTGTTTTTTTTTTTCTTGCTGATATCATACAACTCCTTTGTATGTGTATTTGTAAGGATAACATTTTTCATAAAAAAAACCATCTGGAATTTCTACATGAGAGTTGTTGAATCCAAGGTGCAAAACAAAAAACAAAATTTACAGATAGAGAGATTCTACATAAGATATTATGTTGTGCACCAAAAATCCTAAATCACCTCTCCTTTACAAGAATGAAAAAGCTTCTTATCTTCTCTACCAAAACCTGTGGTATTGTCTTGTGATTGTAAGCAATTCATGATGTGCAGATTGTTGACCATCAGCTTTATGCAATTGAATAGATGATAAAAACAATTATACAAAAAACAAATCCTGAACATTTTCCGCAAGTAAATTAAAGTGCTCTGGGACACCACAAGCACACCTGTAAATCTTTGGACTTTGCTCCAGAGAGAATTTGATTATCCATGAGTTTTAGTAGCTAATAATACATCACTATCACATTAACTACCAAAAGAAATGAACCACAGTTACTTTCAAATCAGATCAAGCAATGTAATTTGTTTAGTTCCAAATCAACCATAAATCATATCAATTTTCCAATTTCCAAACATGGGATACCATCATGAAGTTTAAATCTGCGAGTGTTAATACCACACCTAAAAATCTTTATATCTATATCCATAAGCTAAATCACTACAAACCAATAAGAATTCCTAGTAGTTTTTCTCCTTGTTTATCCAAAAATGCTTAAATGCAAAGTCTTCTGCCTGAATGAATATTAAAATAATTGACTTCAACTCATTTCAACCCCCATCTAGTTTTAGAGTTCAGTCAACTAATCCACACAAAAAGAATAAGATTTTATGTATACATATCGTTAAAAAAAAAAAAAGGGTCTGATTATGGAAAAAGATGATGCAAATGTAGTTCACATGAAGTTTAACTTCCTGACACTGACAGTCTTATGATCATATAATTTATGATTATGATGAAATGTACATGATAGAAATTTACAGAAAAGTGCTATGTTTCTGTCTAATACGAAAAGAGTCAATAATAAACCAAAAAAACAAAGAACTAACCAGATAATAAGCTGAGCAACAAACAAAATAACATAAATAAGGATACAGGTGCAGACAAAGGTGTTGTAGCATGCTCCAAATTTCTGGGAATAAAACACATCACCAACAAAATCCCTTACTTATTGATCAACTCTTAATTAAAACCATATTTAATATATATATATATAAGTATAACTAGAATGACTTACCCCCGCGGTTGAAATAGAGCAGATTTATCATATTAAAAAGGAGAGGGCCCTTTTGTCTATCAGCTGCTGGTGCATTCATGGAATAATTCCAGAATTATATGGTTACTGCCATTGGATACATCATTGTTGTGCACTTCATGAGATTCCGAAGGCTCGTATCTATCTTCGAAAGCATTTTCTACCACAGATTGTGCATTATCATAGACTTATATTTTTCTTCAATGAGAACTTGATGAATAAGATGATCTATAATTGTGATAATTGGACCTGCTAGATGTTTTGATCTCTTGACGTTTGGTTCTAGTCAACTTCACATCTTCTCACTCTCTTCTATGGTTGCTCTCATGGGACAGGTCATCAATTCTGCGCCTTTCTATGCTTCTAGAATGATCCTCTACAACATGCTTATCACGATGCCCATGAAGGCCCTGCTTCATTAGCACATGATCTCTAGTCAAAGCATCCTCAAATATTGTAGATTTGATATCACGACCATAGTGAGATTGTTTCCTGTAATGGTTTGGGCTACCTCTAGTTGCTTCAAATAAATTGTTATTGTTTTTCCTACAATTCATATTAAGATCCTGTGCAAGGGGTCTTGATGAAAGCATCCATCCCTACCTCTTCATCTCCCTTCACAAAACAACTGATTCCACCTGCTTGCTTAATTTCATCCATGTGTTCCTCTATTATATCCCTCATAACCTCCGAAACAATGTAAACAAATGGAGTATGGAAACTATCATTAAACTTTAAATTTCAAATTGATGACAATGTACCAAAAAAGAACTGCAATAAAAAACAATGAGGCATTCTTTTAGTATGAGAAAACAATAAGACATTAGATACAAGAATATTATGACTCCATCTTTAGTAAGAATACATGAAGATTTTAATCACAAATAATTTTTGTCAAATTGATGGGTTCTCTCATTTAGCTTTCTCCCAGAAAAAACTTTCAAATATTTACCAAAGTTCAAGACTGTGGAGGCAAGTGTTTGAAACTGCACGGATCTATTATGCATAATTTATAATCTTTTCCATCCATAAGACTAACTTCTACGCTAAGAAAATAAACATATCAAGTAATCTCTCCTCAATTACAAAGTTCAACACATGCATTTGACAAGCCGGGATGTCATCAATTAGGTAGGAAGTAAAACATTAGATAACAGAAAATGTAATCCTTAGAAAGACCTTTTCAAAACTAGATTCTTACCTTTAAAGTTGTTCTTTTCAACTTTTTTCCCACAATATGACATTCTTCAGCATTTGTAATCTCTTTCTTCAGCCAATAAATCCTCTTTCGTCTTATTCTTACTTGTTCCTTATTTAAACAAACAAAGATTTGTTAACAACAGTTTATTAAAACCATCTTTCATGTAAAAAAGATAATTGTCAAGAGAGAGGACACCAGATAAAATACTAGTAATTTGCTGTTATGTTCCCTGAAGTGCCTCTTTCTGGTTGTTATAAGCATTTTACTAAAACTGTTGACAAGTTAAATGTACTAACCCACTACAACAAGCTTACTCCTTGTGTCATGCATGAGGTTGTTTCCTAAATTCTAATATAGTTGCCAACAGCAATGAACTAAATGCACTTAAAAGAAAACTGACCCCTACCTCATGAAACTTGTGCATAATGATAATGTTTAATGATTGAGAAAGTTAAGGCATATCCTAAATCTAGAATTAGGTAAACATGGTCTCCTAAGAAAAAAGTTCCACACAAGGGAAACACCAAGTTAATGCACTTGCTGTGGCAATATATATGCCTGAAGAACCAGTATGACCAAATAAAGTTTCAATTATCTGAATTGTAATTTAGGTTAAAGCCAGGTATCCTAACCATCCACATGGCTAATGGCATCATCTAATGCTAACAAGTAGCTTTCAGTTTCTTGAATCATGTTTTAAATTGTAAAATAAAACATATGCAACTCATATTACTTACATATTTAAGAAAGCTAAATACCTGGTTAGATGATTGTTTCTTAGGAAGTACATCATGCTCAATTATAGGTCTATATGAAGGACGTTTTTTCCTCTCCTCATTGGCTCTATTAGACACATAAGCATGCTCAGCCATTCTACAGATAAAGGAAAACTCTATCAGCATCAGATCCTTAGATTCAAGATACACATATTTCAGACAATAATACTATCACAGCAAGTTAAAGACAATACAAAGAAGCTCTAAAGTGGATGTCAATTGAATAGGAACCATATAAATAAGACAATCGATTCATACCAATACCATGGAACAATAAAAATTCATGAAAACATAAATGACAAATAAGATAGACAAATATTTATACCTTATTGCTGACATATTCATGAACCAATTCACCTACTTTACTCTCATCTACAACCCTTTCAAGGGGCTTATCAACTTTGACATTCATAATCTCACTATGGGTAGAATGTCACCTTTGATCTTCTTCTTTTAAATCAGAAGACATAGTCGAGTTTTGCTCTAATGAAAACAACAATGGTGAGGCACTTTCTAATATGCATTGCTTAAAAATGTTAAGAGCGAATAATTTTGCATTCAGTTGCCCATATAAAACAGAAAGCTGAGAAGCCAACAACATCAAAGCCTGAGATAAAGCAAGACACTTCAAACTCATACTCTTTAAATTCCCCTCCAATTCTCGGCCCTTCAACAACTCCACAATCGCCGAAGCTTCCCTTATAACAGCTTTCAAACACAACCCAACCAGAACAAGTATATGATCCCTCAAATAAACATTAATCACAATACCAAATTGTTACAAATTAATGATTACCGATTTGTTGAAATCACTCTCATTCATCCTTTTAACCCCAAAATTGCACAAACAACAGTAAAGGAGTACATATTTAAATACTCACAATCACTCCAACCCTCAATTTCTCTCCTAATAAACCAGACATCAGAACCTAAAATCCTGAACCCCAATTCATCAAAACCTTCAATCTTCGTCTTAACTTCTTTATCATAATAACAAACATTAGCACATTCTAAAGATAAAAAACCAAGCAAAGTAAAAGTTCTTTTACTCCTTAAAAGACTATCTAATAAACAAACAGGACCAGGGCAATCTTTATAAAAGAAACTAGAAAATCCAGGGTAGTAATGTAATCATCTAAAGAAAAGTAGAGCTCCTGGTTTAAATCTTGAATGGCGAAATGGGGATTTTGATGGTATAATGTTGAAAACGATAGTAGGCTATTTTGGTAATTTGGAGAGTCAATTGAGATAGGAGATGGACAGTGAAAAATGTGGTGGAAGAGGGATTCAGGAGGCATGAGATGGTGGGGGTTGTAAGGGCAGGGGAGGAAGTGGTCGTTTTGGGGCTTTGGAGGGAGAAATTTGGAATTTGGAAGAGGTTGGTGAGAATGAGAGATGAGGGTTTTGAGAGAGGAGAGTGTTGTTGAGCGATCATACGGGTTTGGAATTTGGGTTAAATTAGGGTTGGGGTTTAATGGAGGTGTTGAACAAGGGTTCACAGATTTCAATGTTTCGGAGACTAAATGAGAGCAGCCCTGCCTCTGTGAGTAGTTTTCAATGACAAACGAAAACAGGAACTTATCACCACCACAAAACTTAACTTCGGTTGATCAATATTTCAGAAATTTTATATATCCCTATTAGCAAATATCACCACCTATCACCACAAAATTAGCCGCCGCCGCCACCACCACCACCACCCAATATTTCCAAAATTTCTCCCATATCACCCCTGTTACAGTTGCCTACTCAAAAACATTAGAAGATTTTACCTCTTTCTTCCGTTGAATATGAATTTTGGGCGATGGTCATTGGTCCAGATCAATATCTATAGCAAGAATAAGCCCCGCCTCCTGCAGTGAGAACGAAAAGTGTTATTACCAGCTTTGAGAGTCTCAGAACAAAAACCCAGAAATCACCAAACAAATTCTACAACACCGTGATAGCAACCATCACCACTATTAATTGTATTCCGGATTTTTCACCACCGGAAAATCCGGCGATGGAGTCAACACCTAGTAAAAAAACCAGGGAAAGAGTTGGCACCTGAAAAATCCGGCGATACATACTGAAAAATAGCGCATTTTGGGAATTGCGTTATAATAATAATAATACAGGTGTACGTTCCAAAGGTATACAGGTGTACATTCCAAAGGTCTAACATAATGATACTGTAGATTTATGATTGACATGGTTGAATTTTATCCGCGGTAATATAGAAATGTGGTACATTGTCCTCATCTTGTTCAAAAAGCACTGCATCTCAATGAGTGTCACTAGCATCCGTCTGAAAATGCGTTTCCCAGAAGAAGGAATCTTCAACAGCTATGTATGGAAGGATACACGCTTGAGACTCTTAACTGTATTTGTCTATTTTTCAGACCACTCTAGAGGATTCTTCTTAAGCATTTGGGAAAGTGGAGTAGTGAAACGAGAAATGTTGGGAATGAATCTGCGCATGTAATTGGCAATTCCCAAGAATTGTTGAATTTCTTTCTTGGTTGTGAGACATCTGAGAATTTTTGCAATTCATTAGCAATATGAGATTGAAGATCATACTTGCCATCAACAATCACCATACCAAGAAAATCAATCTTTGTTTGTCCTAACTGCATTTTCTTCTTAGAGAGCATGATACCATAAGTGTGGATGATATCAGCAAAGTCACAAAGAAGACGTATATGAGATTCCTCATTTTTTGAAAAGCGAAGGATATCATCGATATAAATGAGACATGTATGCAGAAGGGGAGCAAAAATCTTCGTCATGGCTTTCTGAAACAGAGAAGGAGCGACTTTAAGTCCAAAAGGCATGACTGTCCACTGGTAGTGTTGATTGGGAATGCAGAAAGCAGTCTTATGACGATCATCAAGATGAATTCCAAGTTGCCAAAATCCAGCTTTGAGATCAAATTTGGAAAACATCTTTGCATTATGGAGATTTGCAAAAAGAACTTGTCTGGAAGGCAGAGGAAATTTATCATCACAGAGAAAGAAATTCAATGGCTGATAATTGATAACAAGTCTAAGTTTTCCTCTGGCCTGTTCTGCCCGTTTATTGACATAAAAAGCTTCATATGCCTATTGGGAGTCTGTGGGTTTAATCAATCCTTGAGATGGAAGCTGAGTACATTCTTGTTGAGCTAGACTGAGATGTTCGGGTGACATGTCAGAATGACTAGCTTTAGTGGGATTGATATCTTCGCTCTTGATGAATGGAAGACGGATAAAGAAATCCGAATTCTTCTATAATGGATGAGCACATTTAGTGAGAAAATCAGCATGAGAATCTGCGCAAGAGTGGGAAATAAGCTGGGTCTTGATCTGCTCAATAGGATTGCTTTCAATCTGGAATAAATTAGGCTGAGTGGTCCAGGATTAGAAAAACATCTTGTACCGAACAACATCAAGGAGGATTTTAAGTTTATTGAGTTTAGAGTAAACATCAAAATCTAGAACCATATCTTTGCTAGGTAGATCGAAACAAAGAACTTTATGAAAAGTGAAACATCCTGGGAAAATTTGGATTTTAATGGGTTTGCTGATCAGATGAGTTGTGAAAGTCTCACTATTAGCAATGTAGAATATTTCTTGATGAGGTTTCCACTGAGAGGCTAGAAGGATCTTAGAGTTGATAATATTACGAGTAGCACCAGTATCAAAAAATGCTATGACTGAAACAGGATTTGAGTACTTTATGGGGAAGATCTGAACTTTTGCTGTAGGTGTGTGACATGAGAAGGCTGATGATGGAAGGGATTGTGGTGCTTGTTGGATATGGTAGAAATAATGACAATCATTTGAATTAGAGAACTCAGTATCAGTGGCTGCAAACTGGAAAATAGTGTCTAAAGTGGGTTCTTCATCCATGGAAAACCAACTTTCAACATCATCATCAGAAAAATCTATATCGGTGAGCTGAGAAAGTTGTTGCATCATTTTGACTGACTGCTTGGGCTTGTTTGGACAAGTTTTGGCAAAATGACCCGGGCGGTTGCACAAATAACACCGATTAGACTGTTTGCCTTTGCGTTTCCTTTTCCGAAGAAACTTGCGGTGCTTGAAACGTCAAAATTTACGTCTAGTCGGAGCATTAGGTGGAGAAAGCCTAATGCGTCTAGAATGAAACTTCTTCTTGGTAGGACAAGAACATAAGCGATCTGATTTGCATTTGATCTGCAAGTCTGGTCGTTGACAAACCTTTGTCAGCTATTTAGAACGCTTTAGATAATCGTCAAAAAATTGTTTTTGAGAACAGAGCTTTTCCAGAGCAAGAATAATAAACTAATAAATTTCGCCAAGAGAAGTGGATCCAAGTTGTTTGTTCTGAGACTACATAAGCTTGGTTGCTTCATGACTTAGGGATTCAAGAATTGATGCCAAAAAGGCTTGCTTCATGTTAGGATCACCATACCCCTAAGTATATGATATCGTTTTACCATCTCTTAGTAATGCCTGTCAAGATCTTTCTTTTTTAGAGAACAACATCGCATCTTAAAATATTCTTCTCTGACCTGGTTCTCATAAAGGTAAAGTAATCTATAGAATTCATCATGCAGAAGATACATAGCTTGGTTAATATCTGGCATTTGGATGAACAAATTTTGTCTATACTCCTGAAGACTTATCCACCAATCATGGAGAATGCCACCAAATCTAGCTGTAAACTGCGTAAGTACAATGGAGACTTGGGCATTAGGTTTCAGCATCTCAGCTTGTAACCAGGCCTGAAATTCATACATCCGAGTTCTCCATTTGTGTGAAGGAAGATCATCTACGGTAAAAGTGTAGAGCTTTGCTGAAGCTGTATAAAAGTCTATAAGCGGTTTGGCTCTTGTCATTTGGCTTCTTTAAGCTCCTTATCGGTTTCAATTTCTGCGTGTGCGGAGGATTACCTCCCCTCGGATATTGGCTCCTTTAAGTTTTGGTTATGTTTTATTTCTCTATTTAATAAGTTATGTTTTCTTTTATGTTTAATATTTGGGTCTTGCGCTATCCTTATCATTTGAGGTGATAGTACACATCCAAGAGGTTGAACTTACGCACATGGAATCCTCTTCAGCTTTGTCTATGTTTACTGCTCCCATAAATACTAGCTTATCTAGATCTTCTTCTAAGGTAGACAGTTTGTATGAAATATCTTATATCCCAGAAAATCAAAAAATCCAAGACATTATCCCTCCCATTGTAAATCCTTATACAACATTTTCTAAGTCTTCGTCTTTTTTGTCTAAAACCTTTAAAACTCTTGTCAGACCTTCCAGAAAGCCAATCAAAGAGTATGTCCAGATAGTACTTTTGACAAGTGTCAAATTCCAGCCACAACCCAGGAACAATATGTTACTTTGGAAATCCCTCAAGAATCCATTACTCAATGGATCTGTGATGGATACTCTCATATACACTTTGGCGCTATCCGGCTCGCCTTATCTTATCATGGCAGAAAAGGATTGTCAGTCTCTGTTCGAATTGCTTTATTGGACACCAGATTTATCCAATATCAACATGCTTGTATAGGGACAGCACAGACAACTTTGAATGTTGGGACAGTCATTATGACACTGTTTCCTATTTCAACATGTCCCTCTTTGATGTTCATTGCTCAAAGGCTCTTAAAGTTTAATTACAGATCGTTGGTGCAGATTTAAATCCAGGAAGTATTGCAGCTACTTTGCATTATCAAATGGTTTGGCGAATCCAAGACCATGCTCTTGATCTCGCTATCCCTAACACTATAGATGCACTGCTCCTTACTATTGACTCTCAGAATACTTCTCACTGCATCAATATTCCCAGGAAAATTTTCAGAGATGATTTGATTAAATTGTTACCCGACTCTTGGGTAACGAGTTACGAGTCTCTTAATAAAAAAGAAACTCTGGTGGTTTCTACAGAATCTACCATGCATGATAACAGTGACGGAACAACAACTATTAGATTTAAGTCTCCAACAACTCCCAATGCTCGACCTTTGAGTTTTCGACAAACTCAATTCATGATTACTCCGGTTATACCCACTACAGCAGTACGGGAACCTGGACTTTCCATTCATTCATTTCAACAATCTGGTGCTCCTGTCTATCATCAATATGATCCAGTCACTGGTCATACTCCATTTGATCTTGACTGCCAATGCTCGAAATGCCGTGATGATCCTATTTGGGAAATAGATGAGCATTATCTTCCAAGACGAAACTATTTCAGACAGAAAAAACAGACAGCTCGCTGTAGTCAAACAGATCTTCATTCCCGATTTGAAGACCATGATCCTAAAGTTGGTCTTCTTGGTCAACTGTCTGGTAAATTTGACTATTATGTCAAATATTCTCCACCAGCCAGGAAAGATTCACCATCCATTAATCCCTCATGGGACATCCCTCCGAAACCTAAACCCAAATCACCTTTAAAACTATCCAGACCTGCTAAATCACCTTACTTCAAATAGCCTTTACCATGTTATCAACAGTCTCTCAGATGGATTGCCAAAGAAAATAAACCAACCCATTCACCCCTTGCTCATACTCCACCTGTTCAGTCTATTATGATGATCCAATCCCCTAAGCCCACAAAGACAATACAACATTTCAATTATGACACATATTTTCCTTCTCTTCAGGAAACTACTACTCAACAACCAAAAGTGGTTCCTTCCAAAGTGATACAGTATGATGGATCTACGCCCAAACTCTCCTAAGCTGAAGCAGTTCTCAATTGGCAAACTGAAAATGTTTTAGCCCAAAACAAAACCATTACTAGAATTGAACAAAAACTGGATTTGGCAGCTTATCAGGTGGACTCTCAGTCTTAGAACCAAACTATGCTGATTTCTCGGCTACAAAAACAAATTGATCATCTCCAAAACCGGATTGATCAGCTCCATCAGGAATTAATGCACATTGTTAGCACCTCTCATGGCTACTCAGCTTAGTTTCTCCAGAAGGAAGCAGAAATGAAGTCATTAAAAACCCAAATGGCCTCGCTTCAGTAGGAATATCTTAAGCAAAAACTCAGACAACCACAGACTTTCCCTGAAATGT